ACTGTGTCTGTTGATCCAATGGATTACTGAAATAGGCAGCTTTAGGTTGAAGTCAGAAGTTTATTGAGCCCTAGACAGTTTGGCTCAGTGGATAGAGCATCTGTCTAGGTCTGAAGGGTCTTGAGTTCGATTCTGGTCAAGGTCTGAAGGGTCTTGAGTTCGATTCTGGTCAAGGGCACATGCCTGGATTGTGGCCCAATCTCCAGTGAAGGGCATGAAGGAGGCAGCAGATCTAAGTCTCTCTCTCTCTCTCTCCCTCTTCTTTCCTCTCTGAAATAATATATATATATATTTTTTTTAATAAAAAAGAAAAGAAAAAGTTTACTGATTTGCAACTCAATGAGTTCTCAATTTTGCCTTAAATAAAATCACCATCAACTCAGGGGTATAAAGGAAAACCAGATGAGACTGTTTTGCACAGTCAATAACTTGGCCTCTATTGAGAGGACTTTTATATAGGTTTTCTGCCCTTCCATTGATCCAATTCCATTGATAGAACTGTGAATAGGTCATATTGACTATGGCATCAACAGAGTTGCATTGAATCAATTTTGTTTCTTTCCAAAGTTGAAGTACAATAGTTTAAAGAGTTCATGCCAAGAGACTCCAATACTAATAAATAATACTACCATATCATTGGCATTAATTGGATGATCACTTTATCTAAGACAGTTTGCTGTTTTACTTGCATTATTTTATTTAATTCTCACAATGACCCAATGAAGTATACCCATTGCTACGTATATAAGTTGTTTTTTTCCATATGAATTCACTAGTAATTGTTTAGGCTGGGGACTTTTTCATGATATTGCAAGTCCCTCTAGAACACTTTATAATGAGTCCAACACTTCAGTGTTTCATGATGCTTGATCAAGCTATGTCCCCTTTATTTTCCACATTGCTAGTCTGTGGCACAGCTGAGATTTGAACCTGCACATATCTGTCCAATACCAGAGCCCATGCTTTTAGCTCATTATAGCCAACCAGCCCATTACTAAAATACTAAACATAATTAGGTGGAAGATTGTCCAGTAGTTCCTCAAAAAATTAAAGAATTACCATAAGATCCAAATATTTCACTTCTAAGTACATATAACTAAAATAATTGAGAATAGGGACACAAACAAGTATTTGTTCATCATAGCAGACAAATTCACACCAGTCAAAAGATGGGAACCATCAAATGTCTATGAATGGATGAAAGAATTTAAAAAATGTTGTATATACACACAACGGAATATTATTCAGCTTTAAAAAATAATTAAATTCTGATACATGCTACAACATGAATAAACCTTGAAAACATTGAATAAGTGAAATAAGCCATACAAATATTATAAGGGACCTAGAATAGTCAAATTCATAGGGACAGGAAGTTGAATGGTGGTTGCCAGGGTTTGGGGAAAAGAGGGAATGGGGTGTTATTGTTCAGTGGGGACAGTTTTAGTTTGGAAAGGTGAAAAAGTTCTAGATGGTGGTGATGGTTCCCCCCACATGGGAATATACTCAATGCCACTGAACTGTGCACTTAAAAATAGTTAAAATGGTACATTGTGTGATATGTATTTTATCATAATTTTAAAAAAGTAATTTAGAACTTAGGTTTGTGCTAAAATAGAAAAGTGAGAGCCACAGAACAAAACAATAGTATAATTTGAGATCTACTTTGTAAAAATTGACTTAACATTAACCAAATAAGCAAACCTTACTATGTCCAACAGTACTGTAAAGCTTACACTTTATTTTAATTAAATGAAGATCTACATAAGTAGCAAAGAGAAAAATTCTTTCAGTATCACTATCAGATGGAACAACACGAAATACAAAGTGTCTGGATGAGTTCTAGCAAGAACAGCTTATCTCAAGGGACATCCAATAACATCTTATCTTATTCCTTAATTACCTTCCATGTGAAGCAAAACATTTTCCATGAGAAAGAAATCTTGAAATATTACCAGGGGAAATTGGTTTGAATTTTCTTCAAACCAATGTTGGGAATAGTAAACAATTTTTCGTCATCACATATTAGTATTCTCTTCAGCAATATTTTTAAAATAATTAAATTGGCTCATTTGGTGCTCTGGATTCTGGCCTGATTTGATTATTTACATTAAAAAAATGAACATCAAAATAATAAAAGCATTAATGTTAATTGATTAGTACTTTTTTCTTTATTGTTTTTGTTTCTTGGTCAGAAGCTTCAAAGCAATCAAATAAAATTTACTCTGTGCTCAATCCAGAGCTATAAAAGGAGCCAAATCAACTCTATAAGATGTATAGATTTAAAAATTAGTTTTATATTTGCAAACTCATGGCCATCAGGTAGCCAACTATTCAATCCCAACATTTTCATTGATTGGACTTTGGATTTGCTTTTTACCTGGGCTTGAACTATTCTTCTCATGCCATTGAATGAGTGGTTCCTTTTCACCTTTTCCAACTCAAATGTCACCTTCTCAGAGAGGCCACACCCAGCCATACCCTATCTATCATGGTCTCCACCATCACCCTGTCACTCTTCATAAGATCACTCTGACTTATTTCCTTGAAGTTACCCTATCATTCTCTGAAGTTATCTGGATTTTTTACCTGTCTGTTGTTTGCCTTCCACCAGTAGAACATGAGTTCCACAAAGGCAGGGCATGGCCATCTTGTTTTTGATTCTATTCTTCATCCTAAATGAGTGACAGGCTCATAGTAGGTGGAGTTGTTCTTACGGTTCTGCCTTGCAGCCGTGTATGTTAAGTGGGCTCAGAACTTGTCCCCTGGCAAGCACAGACAGACTGCTCTACTCAGCTCTTCTCTTTATGGGTGCTACAGTGGGATCATCTCTTTGGCTGGGGGAGGTTGTACAACAAAAAAGTGGCAACCTAGAGGGTTTTGAGAAAGAACTGCTTGCTCCTTAAACCTGACTCTGACTTAACCCTAACTCTTCCAGAGTGTTTTTTGCAGGTATTTATGAAGTGGTGCCTCATTTTCCATTGGCCACACTTCCTTGGCTCTGGAACTTTCTTGGGTACCCCATGAGAAGAATGGATAACTGAATTAAAGAGTATTTAGTCATTTCTAAGTTTGCTCTTTCTGATGCTATTCTAATACCTTGATATGACACATATCCTTAGCAACTTACAAGTATGAAGCTTACTTCTCTTTCATACATTGCTCTCTGAGGACCAGCCCCATGAACAATGTTAGCTCTGAATCCATTGGGTAGATAGTGAACCAAATGAATAAAATCCAACACAACTTGTCTTCCCATTTTAGCGGTGGAAAAATCAAGTACCATCACTGGTCTTTAGATCTTTGCCAGCCTTGACCAGGTGACTTGGTTGGAGTGTTATCCTGTACACCAAGTTCATGGGCTCAATTCCTGGTTAGGGCATGTACCTAGGTTGCGAGTCCCATCCCTGGTTGATAGAAATTAAGAGTGGAAAAAATTTCTTAAGACCATTTCTAACTCTATAATTTCAGGGTTCCTATACAATATTTTGTGCCACTAAATTAATAGTGAATAGCTGGAATCAAAGAAAAACTGATCAGATAGATATTTTGTTTTTAAAAGGGTCAATCCAAAGTCTCAAAAACTAAGATTGTAGCAGGCTTCTGCTATGCCCCACAACCATGGCAAACTGCTAATTCTTCCCAGGGAACTAAACAAAACACCTTATTTTGAGCAGGTTCATGGCCATACAAGATAAATAAATTTCCATGTCCCTTGTAACTAGGTATGTGCATGTGAATGAAAGTGACCAGCTACAGCCAGATCATGTGCTTCAAAACAGTGAGCACAGTCCTCTCTCCCCCTTCCATTGCTAGCATTTGGAAGAGGTAGTGAGACATCCAGAGGCCCCAGAGGGAGAGTAAGACTCTAGGGGTAGAAAGAGAAGGAGAGAAATCAGCTTTTCAGAGTCACCATCCCTAACCTTCTAGAGCCACACATCACCTATTACTTATGCCTAGAGTGTTACGTAATAAAGAAAACATGTCCGTCTTGTCTAAGCCGCTAGTATTCAGTTTCTGTTCCAGCAATCAAATGGCCATTTTAACATAACTTTCCTTGATGATTCTGACATTACATCATCATGTTTGCAAATTGGTTTGAGGATTTCAAAATGGTAAACTTTTTGAGTTAAAAAAGACCTTAAAAAAGATCTTCAAGATCAGCCTATCTTTCACTTAATTGATGAAGAAATTGAAAAGGGAATAATTCTCAAGCTTCACAGGTAGCTTGTAATAGACCTGGTGCTCAGATCTCCAGAATTTTAGTTCACTATTCTCTTCTTTTAAAGTCCATTAGCACAACTTCCTGGAAATCTCTCTGGGGGCTCCCTATGGGAAGCCCGGTCAACTTACTAGCTAGGAACTTCTTTTTCCCAGACAACACATAAACAGCGCTACCCTGCATGCACTGACGAGGCTGCTCTGACTCCCACTATGGGAAGGAAGAATTATCAGGCCCATGCCTGGTTTTGGCACGCCTCATGGTGGGGTGACGGGAGAATCAGGGTCCATGCTTTTACTTCTTTACCTGCTAAAGCCTGGTCCTGAAAGTTCTCCACCGATTCTTTTTCCTGTGACCTAGCATTGTGGAATCTGTCTAGGACTCTGGATTTTGGCAGTTAGAGGCTAGGGAACACCTACTTAATAACGTCATTCTGTACTATGAGTATGCATTATCGTTCACATGTAATTTGATAACATAAGAAATGTTCTCTAATAACTAGGAGTGGGTAGTAGTAACCTCAAATGTCAAAGGAACAGCATAGAGAACAAACAAATCATTTCACTGACCAAGTGCCCAATAGCCCCCTTTGGACATAGGGCATTGGTGCAGTGATGATTCATACAGCTGCCGGAAGTGGGAGGTAAAATCTAACTGTGAGCATAAAGGTTCTCCGGCTTACCCTTGCAGTACATTAAAATATACCTAAGGAAATAAGCGCTTATTTTAAATTGTGCAAAATTGTACCCATTATGCACCAGTAGCACCCATTGCTTACCATCCTCATTTTCATCAAAAACCGGGGGTTTGCTTGACGTATTGGCTCCCATGGTTGTCTGCTCAGACCTGGATCCTCCAGTTACATAATCCCGACAGAAACATCCATCCTCGCTCAGAAGAGGTATGATGCCTTAGCTAGATATCAAGGAGAGAACAAGAAATCATGGCCCTGTAACACTGTACAAATGGCACATTCTAGTACCCTGAGTGCAGGCGGTGGCTAAAGTATTCATTTGTACCATTCCGTAAAATTTTTTGTACTTGAAAATAATTTCAGCAATAACTGAGAACATTGAGCATCTAAGAGAAGCTACTTCACAGCCTCATTAGTTAGTGGATCTAGATTTACAAAGAAGGAGCAAAGCGAAAAACGTTTGAAGTATGAAGACAAGTTTAAAATGAGGTCAGCAGTACTTTAACAACTATGAAATAAAAATAGTATTTTATTGTGACGCTCCATATGTTTGAGAAAACATGTTGACTTAAACAATTTTTGATGTATGATCAACACCTTTAATTTCTTTAACTGTAAATAATACATCCCCTCTCTCTTTTCTCTGACCCTGGGAGGTACTATAATACAATATAAAAGGAGCAAGGGCTGAGTTTGGGCTTTCCCACCCTAGGAAGTTGTTAAATTTTGCTAAATATTTTTCTTTTTTCCCTTCCCTGAACTTGATCATGGTCCTTACTGCCATGGAGATTAAACGTTTAATGAGATAATATGTGAAGTATTTTCACTGCATGCCTGCTTAGTAATTATTAGCTACTCTAACGCTCAAATTAAGTCATGTATGTGAGAGCTATAAAGCCCTGGAAAACAGATATACTTATGGGTTGTTTTGGGTTTTTTTTTCATTTCTAAACCCAATCGTAAAGAATTTTACTTTCCTGCCCTGACCAGGTGACTCGGTTGGTTGGAGCATGGTCCTGTATACCAAGTTCATGGGCTCAATTCCTAGTTAGGGCAGGTTCCAATCCCAGTCAAGGTGTGTACAGGAGGCAACCGATGGATGTTTTTATCTCATATAGATGTTTCTCTCTCTGTCTTCCTCTCTCTTTCAAATCAATAAACATATCCTAAGGTGCGAAAAAAAAGAATTTTACTTTCCCTGAGATTGGTAAAAAGAGGCAGCATCCAGAGTTATGGTTCTAAAAGTGACGCTGAGAATGGCTCTGGGCCGGTGACATCACACCTCACCTGTAAAATGGGGGAAACCACAGTGCCTTCCTCAGGAATCACAGGCTCAGATGCCTCCCGGAGCCAGGCAGGAATGCAAAGGAGCTAAGCAGACCAGGCAGAGGGCACTTGACTGATGGGAACACTGGCAACCTGGAGAATCCAGGCTCCACCGAAAAGAGGTCACTGCCCTCACATCTAAGAGATTGCTGCCATGTGGAAACATGGGTCCAGGAGCCAGCCCTTCAGATCCACCATAAATGGGGGACGCTAGTGATTTTATACAAATTATTGAAATATTCATTTTTAGCTAAACGGCCTGAGCTACTCACAAGTGTGGGACACAAATGGCCCGTGCAAAGAACAATTGCTAGCTACAGATATTTTTAATAGTAGCATTTCCTTATCATGTATGATCTTTTAAAATTGAATTTTAGAGAGGGAAAGAGAGAACAACATAGGTGTGTTGTCCCACATAGTTATGCATTCATTTAATTTGACTCCTGCAGACTGATCTCCTCTTGGACTTTTTCTGATGAACGAGATACAAACTAGAGACATCATTGAGGAAGGTGTCCCAAGGGAACCTGCCCTAAGGACGTTGTTGAAAAAGAACTTGAGAAGCCCCTAAACAAGCCTAGAAGAAAGGCTTAGTTTTCTGTTAGGAAAATGTAAGTAAAGCCCTATTTGGAAGGCAGACTCATTAAAGAAATTCTACTTTTCATTCCAAAAGCCAACTGCTGGCAAAGTGTCTTCTGAACTTTAAAAAAGAATCTGTAAACAAAGGGCAAAGAAAGAATCGGCAATTAGGAGGCAACCCATTGAACAGCCTGGGAGAGGGGCTGGAGAGGCAGGTGGTAACAGGTGGCTGGAGGAAGCCCGGGGAATAGAAAGAACTCAGCTGTGTCTCCAGGCTGAAGAAAACAAAGGGCTATTAATTCCCTTGGAAAAGGGAGTAGGAAGAAGCCCTAGTGTTTCCTTGTGGGCGAGGAAGAAGCGATGGGGGTGCCCTGTGCATTCTACTATTGCATTTCGAGTCCAGAATAAGTGGGGACTAGGGTTGAACCACAGATGACATTTGAGAAGATTGATCCTAAAAAGAATATGGGTTTTAAGGAATTGCGATTGTTAACACAGCAGGGGTTGGGGGACGCGGCTACACTCTCTTATTTTTATGTGAAGCCTCAAGTTTTCCCACCACACCCCCACCCTGTCATTCTCACATGCTTTCTTCACACCCCAGGCCTCTCTCAAGTAGCCTATCTTCTGCAACCAAGCATTGACCTTGCAAGTCGTCAAATCGGAAAGCAAAGGAGAGAGGAATAGTACCACAACCTGCCACATTTCAGAAGTTCCTTGTGATGTGCAGACAGTTTTGTTCACCGAAGACACAGTGATTTCTTAACAGGAAGAAGCCGTGTAAGCAGGGCAGGGAAAGGCGGGTGGAATGATGAGGCGGAGGTTTCTCCATTGCACTTCACATACCCCATCCAATTTAGAATTGTCTTTCTCTTCTTCTCCCCATGTGGATAATCACATTAGGCAACTTTCCCTCACATCCAAAAAGAAATCAACCTTTCTCTGCTAGGAAAATAGGGGCGCATTTCCCCCCCTCCCACCCATACTGCTTAAGTAGGGCCCAGAAGAGCTGTAAGACTCCCTTCTGCCAAACCTAACACCCTCCTCACCTCCTGGTACTAAGTCTGCAGCATCATATAAGTTTCATTTCAAAATGTAAAGAGGGCAGTCACCACCCATGGAAGTGAGCCTCCTCCACATAGGAAATGAGAAAGAGAATAGTGTGGGTTATAAGAACACAGAACACTTGAGCTTCTACCGTGACCTGTCATCAGACGATTAACTGCAGACTCCTTCTCTGCTGCCAACATCTGACCTAGGGCCTATATTTTGGGGGCTGTCAGTAGGTGAGCTTTTGTAAGGGCTCCCTCGGTGCAGAGGTGTCATCTTCAGGAATTGAGGAACATAAATTGCAATGCAAGAAAGTTGCAACGTCAGACACAACTGTATGCCTCATGGCAAAGGCATCGCATAGGCAGAATGTATTGCGTTTGCATTTGAAAAACAGAACTTCTTAAACTGGGAATGATGTAGAACCAGAGGGAAGAAAGAAAATACCATTTAAAAAAAAAAACATACCTCAAGTTAACGTTGCCCTGCGTTATATATTGTTATATATTATAATAGTTCCTGTTTTATCTCCACCCTCATCCTCAGGCCAAACTCATTCCCCTCTCACCCCGCCCAGAGAGCCACAATCATGAATCAGGGACACAGTTTACAGTCCACTTTCTATGATTTTACAATGTGACATGTATTTTAAAGAAATCGCCTAAATGACACCCTAAAGTAGGTATATGTTTGCATCTGATGCTCATATACCTTTATACCTCTGTCATCTGCGCATGCTGATCCCCGCAGTCCTGACTTGTGCTTGTTACGAACACACCACCTTTTTAATGGTCTGTGTTCAAATTCTTCTGCTCAGGAGGGAGGAATCCTTGTGGAGATGAAGTCAACCACCAAAGGCAGTTTCTGCTTGATTGGAAGCTGAGTGAGAGAAACAAGCAGAAATACTTCCAGCCCTTGTCTCCACAAATACTCGCTAAGGTCTGTGTGTGTCTGGATCCCAGTCAGGGGGAGGCTGGGGGACCCGGTGGGGTACAGCATAGCCAGGGAGCTAGTACCAGTCCCAGCCCTATCAGGTTGTGGTGGGTTGCCTGGACCGCCTGCCTTTGTCTTCTTTCTCTTCCTTTTTAACTTCCGAGCTCCCCACCAGTGCCCTTAGTATGCAAGTTCAGTAAAAAGAAAAGGAAAATCGAGGTCACCACTCACCTAGATCTGGCTTCTCCCTTCTTGTCTCCCAAGAAGCTGGGACTGGTGCTGCCGCCCGCCCGGGGAGCAGGGATAACGGGAACTCCCAGAAACGTGGAGAGAGCGGGGCGCAGAGCCAGGCTGGGCGGGAGCGTGGCACCTGCTGGCTGCCGAGGGGTCCGAGCGCCGCCCGGTGCGCAGTTCTCTGGGGAAGGGGGGCTGCTCCGGGCTGGCCCGGGTTGGGGGGGCGGGTTGGAAAGTGGGGTACGGAGGGAGCAGGGAGCAGGGAGCAGCTAGCCAGGGGACTCACCGTACCAGAGCCCAGAGCAGCCGCCTGGGGTCCGTGCTGGGGGGGTGGGGGGTGGGGGTGGGAGGAATTGCTGCGGGCGGGGCTGGGAGGGGCTGGGAGCTGGCGGCGGGGATCCCCTGGCGCCTGGCAAAGTCCACAGCCACCGGGATGCAGAGCGCGCCCCAACTTCCCGGACCAGGGCCCATTGCCCCGAAGTGACGCCTTCCCGTCCAAGATACCTGGGCGATGTCCCAGCGGGTGGGTGGATACAGAAGGTGGCGGGTATGAGCCTGCAGATGCGAGATGTAGAAAGGCAAGATTCCCTTTCAGACTTCCTGGGGGTATTGGGGATGGGGGTGGGGGTGGGGGTGGGGGTCTGGGACAGGACTGAGAATTGTATAGGTCCCGGCCAGAAGGATCTCTAAACAGTTATGATCTAGCAGACTTCCTCGGCTTACTGCTGGGGAAACTGAGCCACAGAGAAGGAAACGGCTTGCCCAGTACAGCCTAATGATTAATGGGGAGGATCTTGTGTGGACCCAGGTCTCCGGGCTCCCGGTTTCCCCGTGCGCCTGAGGCAGAGGCTCAGAGGTGAGGGAGCTCCCTGGACTTCCTTACCCCTACGTTCTGTCCCATGGCAACACCCTGCGCACCCACCCCCCTTTGCACAAATCAGCACGATCGAAATAACTTCTAACGGTTTTCCCTCTATTCCGAGTCACCCAGCTGAGCCAGGAGGACCAGCCCTGGATTGCTTACTGAGAAGGCTGAAGGGTGGGGTGGGCATGCCAATGAAATGCCAGCTCAGCGTTGCCAAACATTCCTATTTTAAGAGTAGCTGGAAATGGGACGGTCTGTGCGAAATCTCCCATTATCTTGAAGCACTGGCGAGTAGAACAAATGTTAGAAACGGTGGGTGTGTCGAACAAGATGCGTCTGTGGTCGGGAGTCTTTTTCAGTCTAGTTCCACGGGGGGCGGGAGCCAGGCGGGCTTTGTTCACGTGTTCAGGACCAGCTCCTAGAACGGTGTCTGCTGCACCCCAAATATCAGAGACCACCTGAGGGTCAAGAGCCCCATATTTTACTCCTTAAATATTGCAGAGTAATCCTCCTGTTATGCAATGACCTGGCCCTTTTCCTCAGCCCTGGGCAACATTCTGCCTCAGTTACTTTACCCTAGGAGTAACCTTGAACTTCAGTAAACCCACTCTTTCATTTTGCATTTGGGGTTCTGAGAGAGGCATTTGCCCAAAGCCACATAGTGAGTTCGTGGCAGAGCTCAGTAGTAACTTACCTTATGTTGCCAACCCTTGTCTGAGGGAGGATCAGGTGGTAGAAATCAACATTTAATGTGGGATTTGGGTCAAGTTGCAAGAGAGGGCAACCAAGTTCAGGAAAAAAAAAAAAAAAAGAATGTTTAAGGGATTCATTTTGGGGACAGGGTGTTCTTTTTAAGCAAACATCAGACACTTAGCTGAGAACACTTTGTTTCTGTGGAACATCTGGCAGCTTAGAAAACATTTCGATCACTACCTCTGTAGCACCGGGGAAGCTCTGCAAAGCTGTTGTACCTGTGTTACCTCCCAGCTCCCCTCAGGAAACAGTGATGTCCGCGTTACTACTGAGAAAACCGAAATGGCAAGAACGTGGGCTGAGGCCAGAATGGAAGTCTCTGGAAGTCTCTGTTTTATGTCCTGGTTAGCACAGAGGGCTTTGCAGTCAGACGTCTTTGTGCAAATGCCAGCTCCACCACCGAATGCCTCTGAGATGTTGGCCAGGTCTCTCTGAGGCCCTGAGCAGCTTCAGTTTTCCAGCTTCGGTAGAGGGGACCATGGTCATTCCTACCAGCTGTGATTGATGGAGGACTGAATGAGATGATGGAAATAATAATGCACGGAGCTTGGTGTTAGGCAGCACAGGGTAAACACTCAGAAGCTGTCAGCGGTTAAGGTTGTCACTAATTAGCAGGTTTCCAGGGTCTGCCCTAGTCATTTTCAGCTTTGTCCTATAAATCTTTCTACTGCTTGTACAATCACTTTCACTTAAAATAAAAACTATTCATCAGTCCTAATGAATTTAGCAAGGTAAAGGCTTGGCATCCCTTAGGTTTTATGGAGAAATAGTGATTCTTATTACTGTACCTTAAACACTCTATCAAAGGCAGACTTGTTTCAAAGAGATGATTGTGTTTTAAGCTGTTATCTATTCGGGTGCTCATACTCTCTTGTCGGTATTCCCTATCTTAAACGTAGCTTTTGGAGGAACTCTAAAGGAGACCATCACAGAGAAATTGCTGGGGAGACTAACCAGGCTAGATACTTATGACAATCTCTGGCGCCCTCCAGTGGAGTAAAGTGGGAAGTGAAAAGTAAAAAGTCTTGACCAGATAGCCAAAATTTAAAAATAATAATAATTTAAAAAAAAATCATATTGTCCGCCGAAACCGGTTTGGCTCAGTGGATAGAGCGTCGGCCTGCGGACTGAAAGGTCCCGGGTTCGATTCCGGTCAAGAGCATTTACCTTGGTTGCGGACACATCCCCAGTAGGGAGTGTGTAAGAGGCAGCTGATCAATGATTCTTTCTCATCGATGTTTCTAACTCTCTATCCCTCTGTCTTCCTCTGTATAAAAAAATCAATAAAATATATTTAAAAAAAATTATATTGTTTCTATGACTCTTTTTTGTCTTAATCCTTTCACCCTTCTCACCCAGCCCCCAACCCTCACCCCCTATAGCTGTCAGTCTGTTCTCTGTATCCATGAGTCTGTCTCCACTTTGTTTAAATGGTGATTGCCAGAGGAAGGTGTGTGGGGGGGGGAGGGGCGGTTGAAGAGGGTAAAGAGGGATAAATGGTGATGGAACGAGACTAGGCTTGGGGTGGTGAACACATAGGATGGTATACAGATGACATATTGTAGAATGATATACCTGAAACCTATATAATTTTATTAGCCAATGTCCACCACAATAAATTCAATTAAAACATAAATATTATGAAAAGTAAATTGTTATGCAAAGAGTAAATAATTCTATGGTAAGTCCAGGACGAATAAATATGGGAAGGAATATTTGCCAGGAAACATCATTTCCAGTGCAAAATAAAAAAGCTTAACTAGAAAAGAATCATGTCTTATAACATAAACATGAATGCCACACCAATCCAACCATGCCCACTCATGGCTTGAAGATGTCCAATGTTCCAATGACTTTAGAGCTAAGTGGCTCTCCACTCCTGCAGACAAAACCTTCTTCCGTCTATTCCCAGCCAGTGAGTCCATCCAACTCCACCTACAATCATGTTCCTGGGCTCCCTCCCCTCTAGCCACACTGGCCCGCTGCTCCTTGCAGATCACACTGGCTTGTCCCCACCCAGGGCATTTGAATGTCTCTTCTTTATGGATGGACCCATCTCTGGAGTCTTCATCACTCAGCTGTCAGCTCACATTTCTCCAGCTCTAAGAGACCTTCCCTCAACTCCTTAGCTGAAGTTACTTCCCCAACACTTCTTCCATTCCCAGTTACACACTCCCTCATCTCCCATCTTCCCGCTCCTCAGAAACTGTCATAAATTGGCACACCCCACCTACTGCTCACCCAAGAAAGGATGCCGGTGACCCACAGGGGCACCTGTCCTGGTTTTCTCAAATTCTGTGGAATCCATCATTTTCTACATTCCTGGGTATGGGCTGGCATTTTCACAGATTACATTACTGAACAACAAAAATGGAATCAAAGAAAGAGAAAATGTGCATTTTATTTTCTTATATCCCAGAGTAGGCCAAACATTCTGAATGCTAACTACATGAAGGATTATTTCTGAATCAAAATTCTCCTCTGGAAACCCTGTTGTTGTGTTACTAGATTTGAAGTCCTTTCAAATATATTCATTTTAGGATGCCCATCTCTTGGTGAGTGCTTCTATAGAAATTGTTAATAAATCGGCTTCTATAGAAAATGGCTCAGGGCCCATAGAACGGTGATAAAGATCCAGCATTTTGAAAGGAGCCTTTTAGAAGAACCAGATGGAATAACTTGATGCTGAATCACTAAAGCAATTTGAGTGTCCCTGTCGAAGTCAAAGAAGCATGTTTTCTAAAAGTGTCTGTAAATTGTTCAGATCAGCATGACACAGTTCACAATAATGTATTTTAAGTAATTTCCAAATGTGAAACACTGTCCTTTGGTGTACTTAAGTCCACATGGTTTTAGTGACAATCCAAGAAAGCTTCTTATTATCCTTGGTGGTGTCTCTCTTGCTGTAGGTAATAATAATAATAATAATAATAATAATAATAATAATAGAAAGAAGAGAAATAGATGGAAACTCCCCCAAATAATAAAAGCTATTTAGTGTTGTTGTTTTTTTATATGCAAGGCACTCAGCCCAATACATTATTTGCATCGTCTGGTTTAATGCTAAAAATATCAATTTTCAGTCAAGAGTACTGGAGCTTAAAGAGGTCAGATGCAGGATAGAAGTCTAAGAAGTCTGGGGTCAAAGTCTAGCCCTTCACCACTGCAGAATTTTTTTCTCCTGTAATGACATTCACAAATCTGGAATGAGAACAGTGGAGTTCACGTGTCACTGAAACACTCCTTGGAGTTAGCTCTGGCCCATACCTGCTATAGGACCTTCTGTCTGTTAAACCAAGAGGTTGGACGGGGTGGTTTCTGTGGACGCTTCTAGTGTTGCTGTTCTATGACTGTGGACATAACCTGTGCCCTAAGTTTAAGGTGACTAACCATCTCTGTTTGCCTGCATGAGGGACTTTTAGGGGTAACATCAGGACAGTCTGGGAAAAACCTGGACTGATGGTCACCAACCACAATCCCTGATACATTTACCTTGTTATTCTAGATATAACCCTTTATTGGAGAATTTTTTGAACTCATTTGATTGTAACTTTTCGTTTCGCCAGTAAAGGACTTTATCTTGAAGAACTGGAGTATGCTGTAGATTATTTGAAGGGACTTGG